GGCCTTTAACCCGACCGAGCTCCTTCCACCACCGCAGCTCTGCAGGGCTGTGGGGGCAGGCTGTGCCGGCTCAGCACCACACTGGCCAGGCACCTCGTGGCTGCCACAGCCCTGCTCTGAAAGGGTTACGCGTCCTTTATTAATTGCTCCTCCAGATTTGATTAAAATCCCCTCATTCTCTGAGCCCTTCGAGCTCTGTTACAACTGTTCATTTAATTACTTTCCACCAGCACTCTGATAACACTGAGCAGTAGTAGGGAAGAGAGCAGGTTTTATTAAGGAGAGAGGAGGAGAAGAGGGGGGACAGGGAGGGGGTGCAGGAAGCTGCCTGCTCGACTGCTGCAAGGAGCCAGCAGCATCGGGCAGCTGCTTGCGTCTGCTGTGCTTGTGCCTCAATTTCCCCACTGCTCCCACCAGGCAGGATTTGCTCATTAATTATAACTTGCAAGCCTCTCTATCAAAGGCTAAACCTGGGGTGCTCTCCCTCCTCCCAGATGGCTATGGGCTCAGCATGATGTCTAGAAAGTTAGAATAAGATTGGCCAACCAGTGCCCTTCAGTTTGCATTCTAATGAGGATACCTGTAGCATTCCCATTTGTTTGCCCCTGACATGCATAACAGCCCCCTCAGCATCCACATGTTCAACACCTGCTCTGCAGAGGGGAGGCTTAGCTGAGCCAGGCCTGGGACAAACAGCCAGGGACAGAAACGCTGCCCAGGAAACAGTTTTCTGCCTCACCTGGAAAGTTGCAGGTTTCCTGCAGCAGAGCAGTAACCAGAGATGGGTGCTGGGAGGAGGAGGGAAAGGGCTCTGCTGTCCCCACGGGGATGTCTAGACAGAGTCACTGCCCTGCTGCAGCATCCTTCCCCGTTCTGAGCACCTGGGCTGGCAGCCAGGAGACCTATTATGTACCAGCCTCTGCTGCTCTCCCACTCACACACACCTCTGCTGGGCAGAGGAGCGGAGATGCTGCAAGACACAGGCACACCATGTCCCAGCACGGCCACCTTGTCTCCCCACCGGGCATGGCATGCGGACCCACTGACATTGGACCCAAAAAGTGCCACCACTGTGGCCTGAACCTGCTCCACCCGCTCTAGTGCAGCCCGTGGGTGGACGAACCAGACCAGAAAGCTCTTCTGCAGGCTGGGGATCACACAAATGCTCACAAAACCAACGAAACTTCCTGTCATGAGCCCTGGCTGCACTGCCAGGACTGCAGCACCAGACCTGGATCAGGTCTGTTCCTCTGGTTGTCTCAGCAGAAGCAGAGGCAGGGACCAAGGGGTACATGCCAGGATCTGGGGGCAAGCCAGCCCCATGTCCGTCTCTGTCACCCCAGGTGTGAAAAAGCTGCCTAGAGCAAGAAGTGTCTGCTAACCTGCAAAATCCCTGCTCAGGAGGGGACGGGCAGAACAGGCAGGAGGTTTATGGCCAGCCCTCGCAGCAAGGAAGGGTCAGGAAGGGTCAGGAAGTGCTTGGTTCCCAGGGGCTACGGAGATTTCAAGCAGCTGCTGCTAACAATTAATGCTTGGGGCACGGCCCCAGCGAGGAGAGGAGCAGCAGGGCCACAGAGTCAGTGCCTCGGGGCAGTGGTTTTGCAGAGAGGAGCAGGGAGCAGGGGCACGAGTCCCCAGGCATTCTCAGTCCCAGGAAGTAAAGCGCAAACCAAAAGGTTTCCCGGTACATGGGACCACAGGCTGAGGCAGCAATGTGGGCTGCCAAGTCAGGAGAGCAGAGGGGCCACTGTCTCCTCCCCTTACCTGTTTCTCCGTCATGGCATAGATGTGCTGGCGGTCGGGACTCAGCACCAGGTCTCGCAGGATGGAGCTGCCCTCATGAGCCACAACATTCTCGTACTGCAGTGCTTGGTGCTTCCTCTCAGCCGGCAAGTCCACCAGGATCTGCGGGGAGACCAAGGCGAGGTGAGCTCAGTCCCACGCGTGCCTGAGCCCCCAGCCAGGGAGCAAGATGGAGACCATGCCCTGTTAGCCATCCCACCCTCCATCCCACAGCCACGGCCACTGCAGCACGGCAAAGTAGCAGCCGCTTGGCAAACATCCCGCCTCATTCCAGAAGACCAAACTGCAATGTTTTCTTCCCGTTTTTGCATTTGTCTGTTGCGTTTGCACCATGTTGACGCTGATGGCATTCACCTCTCTCCACAGGGAGGGAAACCACATCCGTGGTTCTCATGCTGCACCCCATTATGTGCTTCCCAGCCCCAAAGCCTCTCCAACTTGCAGCACAGACGAGCCCCCAGCTTACAGCAAAGCAACAAACCCCATCTTGCCGCAGCAGTACCGAAAGCTGCCGCGCGCTGCACCGCACCAAGCCCTGCGGTACACGCAGGCAGGGCTCCCGTCTTCCCATCCATCAGAGGAAATCCTCGAGCTCGTGACTGGGGAAGTCAAGAGGGTCTCAAGGAAGCTAAGGGTCAAGGGAGGTTCAGAAAGTGCCTTTGTTCCCCGAGCAGGAACGTGGCAAAAGCTTTAATCCCCTTACAGCTCGCAATTACGTTAAAGCTCTTCCTAAGTACACTGGTTCCTGGCTGTACCGGCGATAACCACATCAGGAGGCACCACAGGGCTGGAGGCACCCACTGAGCAGGAGCTACACTCAGCTGCACTACTTGCTGTAACATCGTTGCCACCTCCACAAACGAGAGTTGTTTTCTGCTAATGTCATTGCTTGCGATACCCCCGGATTCAGGCTGTCCCCCAGCACAGGGCAGCCTCAGGGGAGACAGTGACAGAGAAACAGCTCAGTGGGTCTGGTGCAAAGGGATGGGATAGAGGCCACACCAGCAGCACATTCTGAAAAAAAAAACAGTGGCAAGCAAAGAAGCAGCGTGTCCAGCAATATGGAGAAATGCTGCCTAGGATCAGCTCCACGCTGCTGCCGGCACATGGGGGGACCCAGTCTGGCACCCCCATGCCCAGGACTCAGGATCCCGCCCATCACAGGTGGCCAAATCCATCACTTCGAAGCACCCCCAAAACACATCCCACAGCCCTGCTCTGATCACCACACGCACTCCCATGGCCTGGCACAGCCACATCCAAGCCCTTGTGCCCCCCAGAGCAGCCGCCCTAGCACCCAGGCCACCTCGTCTCCCTCCTGCAATAAATCACCACTGGCATTTGCATAGTTCCCAATCAGGAGGATACGGGGCCAGGAAAGCAGGATCCCGGTGTGCAGCTGATTAGCATGGAAATGTATGCGGCTCACAAACAAACCGGGGCCCGTTTAATTAGAGCGGCGCCTTTGATTCACTGCCAGCCTCCTGCATGCACCAGCCCCGGATTATTTTTAGGCAGTTTTACAAAACAAATGTATTTAATTAAGAAAGAGACCCCTGAGCAACCAGAGAGTGACGAGTCCTGCACAGCAGTGAGCAAACGGGCCGCCCTCTCCCCGAGAGATGTGGCGACTGAGCTTGCAGGGCCAGGCTAACTCCTGAGAGCCCACGGCACAGCCAAAAATCCCCGCGGACGTCCTGGGGCAGGGCTGAAGAGCCTTTGCTGTTACCCACACCGGTCTCGGTACTCACTCACCTTCTTGGCATCCTTTGCCAGATCCCTACACAGACTCTGCCGCCCTGAGTACCACTTTGTGTTGGGGAACCCAGGGCATCAAAAAGCCCATCCTAAAGCCTCTGCCTTGCCTTTGTGGGGTCAGCATGTGGTCCTGCTGTCCGAGTCAAGGACCACATTTGCTCCTACTCTAAATATCAGCTCAGGTCAAGCCCCAGACACAGGTGGTACAAGGTCACCTGGCACCCCCTGCCCTGTGGTAGCCCCCAGCGTCACCTCCAGAGCCCAGCCCTGCATCCCCTCACAGGTCACTCCCCTCACGGCTCTCGCTTCTTCCCTACAAAGTCCTGCCCAAGCCAGCTCTCGGGAGGAGGGTAACAGGGTAATGGGGAGTATCCTCCCTTCCCAGCAAGGCACTGTCCCCCCACCTTGCTATGGCAATGTGAGGAACGCACCTTTCCAACCCTTTTACAGGCCACAGTTGCGGCACAGAAGAATCAATACGGTTCCACCCTGGTTCTAAAATAGATCTATGGCTGGATGTCGCACTGGCAGTAATTTTTAACTAGCGGGGTAATTTCCCCATTACATTATTGCACTGCGCAGTGCTGGGAAAGAGAAAGAGATGTATTAAAAAAAAATAATAAAAAGCCAGAACAGACACGAAGCACTTCCAGTTAATTTGAGGCTCCAGGAAGAACCTAAAAATACTCTCTGCAGTCAAACAGGGCTGGAGCCCAGCCTGTCACGTGTCTCAGCACTCTGGTGGGGGACACGGGGTTACCCTAGGAATGCACACACGGAAACCCTTCTCTCTGGCACTGCTACTCCCACCAAGGATACTCTGTATAGGCTCTTTAGGGATTCAGGAAATTTAGAAGACTTCGCAATCAGGTTGTCTTCTTGTTGGCCAAAATACAGAGCATGGAGGGAGTTTTTGAGTTGGCTCATGATAGGTAAACCTATCCTACTACTCCTTCCCAGCACAAGGAGATTACCAGCAGATAGATCACAACGTCATCCCAAGCCAGAGCGACCCACTGCCACGTGGGCTAACGTGGGAACACAGCTTCGGGGCCTTTCAAGTGGGATTAGCATGACAGGAACGTCCCCATCCTGGCTCGTGGGAAGGTGACAGGCTGCTTAGACCATAACACAGCAGAGCAGCATGAGGGATGCGAGAGGTGCTTCTTGTCTCTTACAGATGGTGGAAGAGAGCACTTCCCCTCCGTCTGCCCACACCCGCGGGGTACCTGCGGGCAGGGGAAGGGGGAGAGGATGTGGTTTAATCAGAGCAGCCCCCCTCGGAAACATGCTCCTTCCTGCCCACCCTGCCTGTCTTCCCACCCGGGGGAAAAGACATTTACCGAAAATAAATAAATAAATAAACCTATTAACCTTTCTCCTCATCCCGACGCTCATATAATTACCCAATACTAATAATTACTCACATTAATTTCTCACTCAGGATTCCTGCCCTGGCTCTTGTCTGCCTCGAGCTGCCTTCAGGCAGTGGCTCGGCAGCGCTGCCTCCTGCGAGGGGCTGGCAGGAGACGCGGGGTGCAACTGGACCCTGGGACCATTCCGAGGAGGAAGAGCCAGGGTCAGTTCACTGGGCTGGTGCCTAATTAAGTAAATGGAGGAGACCAGAGGCAAGAAACTCCAAGCTTCCTGAAAGGGTGAATCATTTTAAAGCAAGTCTAGAGGCTGCTCTGCCAGAAACACACGTGCATGCCTTCCCCATTCAAGTGAAGAACTCACCCCACGGGGCGAGCACCTAGAACAACTTCATTCAGAAGAGGGAAGGGTTTAAGACCCAGTTCTCAGATACCAAGTGGGCTGACAGAATCAGTGTAAGGCCAGGAGATGCAAAGGCATCTCATATTACCAAGAGGCCCCTCACCTCCCAGGCCAGCTATGGAGAACCCTGGCAAAGGAATGTTGAGGGAAAGGACCACATGTAACCCAAAGAGGATGGTCTATCTTGGCTGGAGAAGGGAGCTGCCATCCCATCACAGGTTTTGGAGAGCACATAATCTTGCGAAGAAGTGTGCAGTGGTGCAGGGTCATGGCTGGTCAACAGCACTGGCCGGTCCTGCTGCTACCTGGAGCACTGTGTTCCCTCCAAAGCTTGGCTCTCCTCTGCAAACCATGATGCTGGAGCATCCAGAAGCTTCTGCAGGGCTCGGGTTCCATCAGTGCTAGTGAAGAGACACTGCCCTGAGAAGCTGTACAAGAGAAGCCTGGGACCTAAAATGCATGTGAAAGGCAAGGAGAAGCAAAAGCACCAGGAGGACAGACACAACACGTCTGAGGAGAGAAGGCTCCTTCCATTGCAGTACACTTGCTTCCTGGAGCAAGATGCCCTCCAGGCTTGTCCAGGTGAGGAGGCACCTCCCCACTGCCATAACCACTGCCTGGATGCCACTTGCCAAACTGCCAAGGGGAAAATCTCTCAATATCCTTGCGGCCACCAGCAATGGGCACAAGGCAGAGGAAAGCATCTCCCCTGGGTCACCTTTTTTGAAAGATGGGTGATCAGAGGAATGATGGGCAGCAGCCATGACCTGCTGGCCACCCAGCGCTGGCAGCGGGTCCAGAGGAGGACGGCAGCAGAGGATGGGGCTTTACAGCTCAGTCCAGACCAGGGACGCCAGGTGGAGAGAGAGGAAGCACAGTCGGGGAGGGAAGGCAGCTGCAGACATGCCAAGGCTGCTTTCGGATTTAACACATGCCAGGGAAGGGATCTGGCTGGATTCTTGGGGGTGCTGGGGTGGGCTCTCCACAGGACAGAAAACACATGTCTGCGGGCACACACATGGGGTCCCCAAGAGACCTGGTCTCACCGCAGGAGAGAAGCCCACCACTGAGAAGAGGGGGCTCTTCAGCACCCAGCAGCTGGCCCCCTCCATGGGGCTCTCCCACCACAGCTCTTCATCTCCCCCCAACCTCGCTCCAGGCTCTCAAGCCCCCATCCTGGGTCCCAGGCAGTCCCCTGCAGACCCCTCCTCCGGGCAGGAGAAGTGCTCAGCCAGGCTTTGTACTCTTATCTGTACAGGGCTGTGATTAATTCGCAGCGGCTGGCAGCAGCTACAAGAGGAGGGCGCTTTTGCCCGCCTGCCACACTTCAAAGGCAGGGACTTATCTGCCTGAAACACACTCCACAGCCTTTTCGCGGGGACCCTTTCCAGTTCCATGTGGCTTGCGCAGCGCTAATGGGCAACGCGAAAGAAAGGCTTGTTTATGGGAGTGCATTTCAAAGTCTCCCCCCTTCCCTCTCAACACTCACTGGGGCAAGGGGAGAGTCCCCTGGCCTCAGGGACAGAGGCTGAGCAGGGAGGGACAAGACAGGGCTGTAAGGAGAGGAT